AGCATCTATAACAAAACATAAAAATTAAACATAAAAATATTATTTAACTTGTATTTTTTATTCAAAATGATTCAAAATATCAGTTAAAAAAATACCAAAAACTTTAATTAGTTCAAAGTAATTTTAATTGAAAGTGGAATGATTCAAAAATATAAATACCCTGTGTCCTAATTTATTAAAGCTGGTCTCATTAAGTATAATAATTTAAGAACTGTTCTTACCCTTAGACTTTTTTTAATGATTAAATTTGTTTTTATCAGACATCAAGTTTAAAAATTTATGTTTTTGTTTTCTGAATAAAACTAAATAAGCTTAGAATAAAAAAACTTTTCAATTTCGCAAATATAAGTCACTAATTTTAGTGATTATATATTTAAAAAGCTTTATTTATCAATCTTATGATTATTCTGAGTATTCTTTTTGATTGTGTATACTTATATATTAATTATACCTTTTATGAAAGGTTTTTTATAAAAGCATTATTCTAATTAGAGATAAATGAAAAATAATAAAATTTTTGTTTTAAAGTATGTGAGTTAGGTTTATTAATTTGTTTCTCCTCGCAGCGGCCTTATTTGTCAAAGCTCATATTTCGGAGTTATAGAGTTGAAAGTGGGTTAAAAGTAGCACCCTCGTCTGCAGCGGCCATCATGGCCTTGGCACTGCTTTGAAATAGAGGTTTTAGGTTGACCTAAAAGGTACTCAAGATGTTTCAAAAGATATCAATACTTTGGGTGAGCATGAACTATATTCCATTAAAAACAAAATAAAAAGCGTTCCTTTTAAGGATTTATACGCTTTTTTAAATAATCACTTTGCAAAAGAAAAAATATTTCAACTCAGTAGGGATCAAGTGTTTTTTGGTGTTTTAGATACCAAATTATAAACATAGAGTACACTCCAAACATCTATATGTTTATACTAGTGTCAATGGCGGATTAAAGATGGCCGTAAAAGACAAAAAAGGCACGAAAAAATCTTTAAAACCCCATAATTACTTAATAGGAGTTTTCTGATTTGGTGTAAGTAAACTATACTTTCTCAGAAAACGTTGAAATTAATTTTGGACACAGTTCAAAAAACCTAACATTAGTTAAGGCTAACCATGCATCAGAGTTTTTTTAGACATGATTTCAGAAGTTTCTAGCTATTACTTTTTGGACTGCATGTTTTTTAGTGACCAAGTGGCAATAGCTAATTGCATGGCAAGTACTGAATATTTTACTCTAGTGGTTTATTGTAGAACTTTAGAAAATGTCAATGAAAAAAGTATGTCAATCAAAAAGTAATAAAATTTCATTTTCAAATTTGAGTGGCCGCCCTGTAACAGCACCACAAAAGAAAAAAAAATACATAACAATATAAACAATAGACAGAAATATATACCATTATAAGCAATCTACAGATATACATGACAATATAATCAATAGACAGAAATATATACCAGTATAAGCAATCTACAGATATACAGATATATATGACAATATAAACAATAAATAGAAATATATGCAATATCTATAAAATATTTACAAACAACAATAAATTTTTTTATGCATATCTAATTTTAAGATATAGATAAAAATGATTCAACTTTTACCTGTATAGAAGACCTTTTCCTTAATTCCTGACCATCTTTTCATAAATTAACAAAATAGATCTCATTCAGCTAAAGTAGTAGAAAAGAGAGTAATAGTAGAGTGAATAGAATTAAAGTATTTCATGGAGTATACCACCTAAAGAAAAATAAAAAAAACCGAGTGATATCCAGGGTCAGAAATAATACAATAATCAAGGGGTTAAGTTGGGTGATTAGTCTTGAATATATATATATATATATATATATATATATATATATATATATATATATATATATATATATATATATATATATATATATACATATATATATATATATATATATATATATATATATATATATATATATATATATATATATATATATATATATAAGTATGTGTGTGTATATATATATATGTGTATATATATATATATATATATATATATATATATATATATATATATATATATATATATATATATATATATATATATATATATATATGTATATATATATATATATATATATATATATATATATATATATATATATATATATATATATATATATTTATTATCAAGAATACTACTAAATAGAATTATGACTAAATATCATTAGTACTAAATACAATTACTATCAAATAAACTACGACTAAATAGAACTGCTACTATATATAATTACAACTAAATATAATTACTACTAAATTTAATTAATACTAATATAATTACAAATAAATATAATTAGTACTAAAT